AGGTGTCCATAGTTGAGTAGAATGTTGTTACTATTACTAATGATGATCTGTATATAGGTGTCCATAGTTGAGTAGAATGTTGTTCCTATTACTAATGATGATCTGTAGATAGGTGTCCATAGTTGAGTAGAATGTTGTTACTACTACTAATGATGGTCTGTATATAGGTGTCCATAGTGGAGTAGAATGTTGTAACTAATACTAATGTTGATCTGTATACAGGTGTCTATGTTGAGTAGAATGGTGTTACTATTACTTATGATGATCTATATACTGGTGTCCATAGTTGAGTAGAATGTTGTTACTATTACTGATGATGATCTGTATACAGGTGTCCATAGTTGAGTAGAATGTTGTTACTATTACTAATGATGATCTGTATATAGGTGTCCATAGTGGAGCAGAATGTTGATACTGTTACTAATGATGATCTGGTTTGAACCAATTCTATCAATTTCTCTTCAGGAGTTAGGTAAATCTGAAGATTTTTTATAAAAACTCAAATCTTGCTAACAGACTTTCCCCAGCTGGTCATGGTTTTGACATAAAATTTGATAAATTCCTTGTTAAAAAATTCCAGGGGGGAAAATTGATTCTATATTTTAATTATTTCCCCCCCCCCCTTGTACATATCATAAGCCACACCTGAATTTCATTTGTTTTAAGATATTTTTACATTTACTTTGACACGTAACCTCTTTTTCTTAAATATAATAAGGATGTCCCAAAAAAAACTTGAAAATTAAATAGTGCTTTATCGTCCATTTTCATGTGATATTTTTCTTTAATACAATAATGATAGTATTTAAGTTATAACAATTACTAACAAAAACTGTTAGTCTTGAAGTTTCCTAACTGCATGAGATGAGGATTTACAGGGTCTGTAAACTTAATTTCAAGTGACCCTCCTGTAAAGATCGCAATGCCCGATTTACATCGGTATCCTTGAAACCTTAATCGGATCAAAAGTTAACGTCACTTTTTTCCGACTCGAAAAGTGTTTAATCCTAATACTCAATTCAATTAACAACTAAAATCAAAATGTCAAGATTTCAATTAACTATTTAAATAAAAGGCGAAGATTTCAATTAACTATTTAAATCAAAATGTCAAGATTTCAATTAACTACTTATATCTAAGTGTCTCTTAATTCCCGTAATTTTTGGGAACACTGTATTTTTCTGTTATGCCAAAAAGCATTTTTCAGAAATATTAAAATTTATCAAATCCTACAAGAATATTAACAATTAACTTGAAATAAGATCTGAAATATATTTCTACAATATTTTAATTTTTCAACTTCTCTGCTTTAATTATTGTCATGGTCGGCATTTTTTCGTAAACTGTGCAACTATTTTTATAGATCCTGATTTTAAGAATCAAGCTTGAAAAATCTCTTATAGTGCTATTTATCTTCTAGGATGCCAAAATTTAAGATTAGGAATTATTTACACATCAAAGACACAAAATTACAAGGAATACATTTAAACAATAAATTAAGGTTTTATATTAACTGTTATTGTAAAGCTTTTATTTTAATATTTTAAATATATTTTAAATTTTAGTTCTTGTTTTAATTTGTTTAAATGTTTTTTAACTATATTAGTTTAGAAACCAAACTTTGCTAAAAACCAAAGTCAACTAAAGCCAGCGCAAGTAAATTCCAAATTTTAGATAAATTTCAAGGCTTCAATGTTTTATCTAGAAAAAAACTGAAGGAATTGATGTTTTATCTAGAAAACAAATTGAAGAAATCTAATTTTTAACCAGAAAAAAATTGAAGGAGTCTATGTTTTATCTAGAAAAGAAATTGAAGAAATCTATTTTTTATCCAGAAAAAACTAAAGGAATCTATGTTTTATCTAGAAAGAAACCTGAAGGAATTAATGTTATTTTATCTAGAAAAAACTGAAGGAGTCTATGTAAATGAATCAAGGTCTCTTCTGCTTCCTGACAATGAAACCATCATTAACTTGGTAAACACTTGAAGAGTTGTAAAACATGTTAAGACAGCCAATTTTTTAATATTTTTTATTGTACTAAAGGAACTGATCTTTTACAACAAATTCGATTTTTTTATCCCAATAAATTTACTATCAGATGACGATACGTTGATATTTTAAACTATGAATTCTATTAGATCAAATAATCTTAGTTTGAAATACTAAAGGTTTACACCATCAGGTTTTAAAGATAAACGGATTAGAAAATTAAAGGTTGTTGCTAGAGTAATTTTCTTTATTCTCATTTTACAAGATAGTTTTAAGTTTCGACATTTATCTTTTTCTGAATTATTTCTATTTTATCTATTATCAATTATGAATTATGATGCTTTTAAATTATTTTGTAATCTAAGGCGAATTTTAATTCTTAACATTATGCCTCGATCATGTAATGGAAAGGTGTTCAGTCCCATTGTATGCAAGTTGTCCTATTTATTTGATCAGAAAGTAGCGGTGAAGCATGAGAGTCCAGTGATGGGACAAGTGTCTTCTGTTATACAAAGCCCCGCAGGAAAACAATCTAGAGACTATTTAAACTTTTTGATGTTTTATTTTCTTGATATTTTTTGAATTTTTATTATTTACAATGAAACCGAGAGAAATCATGACTTTTAAGAAAGTGTGCTTTGAGAAAAAAATGTTTTAAGTTTTAATTATTTTTACCCCCCCTAGAAAAATGTCATGATGTATATCAAATAATTGGTTTTAATTGGGGTTGATTTGCATTTTCCACTCATTTCATACCTTTCAGCTTTCACCTTGTTTTATATCCTTCATTATAGTCATTCATTTTACATTAACTACAAAGATCTGTAAAAAAACTGAATTTATTTTAGGTAAGATAAAAAATAATAGTTTTACTCTAAGAGGAAAAAGATTTTTTAAATCTTTAGAAAAGCTACTCTGCAAAACTTTGAAAAAATATTGTCTTTGTTTATATTATAATTTCTAAAATTTTCTTGTCGTCAATTTAGTATGTTAAGATCTTAAATAAATCTAATATGGAAATGACATTATTTAGAAGTAAAACTGTATTTTTCATTGCCCATATGCTTTTTTTCTATTAAAAAAAAAAACATCTAATTGTAATGACATTGACTATTACTTTAGAATTTAGAATCATTTAGAATATGTCGACTAAAATCTGAAATATCTGAAGTATCTGCACATTTAAATTATTTTCGTGCAAATTTAATATCAAGCTTTTTTTTAAAAAAAAAAAGTAACAACTCTTTCCTCCATTAAAAAGGCGGCGCGGCTTTGCGATTAAAAACTTTTTAAGAATATCTTTAGGTTTGATTAATTCCAATCTATTAGAATGGGAGTGCATCAGGGCAAGACTAGCCTTTCGGTCTTCATTGTGTTTCGCAGCCATGTTAGAAACCTAATTATCAATTTTAAAGGTGTTAAAAGATGACTAATCAATAGGGAATATTTTTTTATAGGGGCAAGGCAATTGTAACTTGTAGGGGCAGTAAGTGGAGTAATCTCTGCTATTCAGGGCCTGAATAGTTCAGTTCAGGGGTAATTACCTCCAAGATTCTAGGGGGGGGGGTACCTCCAGGATTCTAGGGGGGGGGTAAATAACTCCAATAACCCCCCTTATTTACGCCACTGCCGTGTGTTCAGTAGATATATGTTATCGTTATCGTTATGTCTACCGTCTATAGGCTGAATAGTGTATATATACTGTAAACAAATTGCTATATACAGGGTTACCCACAAAGAATGAGACTGTAAAGACGACTTGAAACTATTCAAATATGACAATTCCAAATTAAAATTAAATTTCCTCCCTATCATAAGGTTTTTAATGGCGTTTTTAATGATTTGGTATAGAATGAAAGAACATTAAATCATGACTACAAGACAACAGACAGTAACAATTCCGTACAATCGCCGCTGAAGTCTCATCCTTTGAGGTAACCATGTAGTTGCCTATAAGTCAGACCGTTTTTCTTGTTGGAGTTTTTAGTGTAGTATATAAAAATAATCATTAAGCCCTCATTTTTTGGATTAGAAACGCAACCAAGATGTTCCTGAGGTCCGGAAACGGCAAAACTTTTAGTAAAAATGTCCATCAAGTTTTGTTTTTTGAAGCTGAAAGACTCCAACCCAGGGTTACCCACTAAACATGAGACTTTAATGACGACATCAACTCGTAAAATTTTGATCATTCATAAACCTTCCCTGGGATCCCTACATGTCCCACAAAAAATTTGGGCCCGATCGCGCGGTTCAGCCGTTTTGACGTTTATTGGATACAAACAAACAGACAGACACCCAAACAAACAAACAGACAGACAAGCCAAATTTATATATAGATAAAGGTAGAATTTTGATTTCTTTCCTAAATGCTGGATTTTTTGTATAACTAAATCATTTGGCAAAGAAATGTTTAAGTTTATAGCTGCAGGAAACTATGATTGTGAGTAATAAGACTGAGTAAATTTTATATATCGTCTCTGAAGTCTCATCCTTTTTAAGTAACCCTGTATGTTATAGTTATATTTTATTTCTGGAGCATTGTTTCTAAAATAAAAGTTCAAATATATCTATAGATATATTTAGAAGCAGTATTTAGAGCTGGGCCAGTTTTTTGGCTTTCAGGTGACTTCACAAAAATTTACTAAGCATAACATTCTGAAAACTTGTTGACCTACAAGTTAACTTTTCTTACATTATGGGAAAGGAGTTTAGCCTTTGCCACAAACTCAATTTTTTAATACCTATATTTAATGGTGTAAACCTTTGATATTTTAAACTTAGATTGTATGATCTAACAAAATTCGTAGTTTGAAATATCTACGACATTGGGTTGCAAAGATATAGGGATTAGAAAATCAGTGATTGTGGCCAAGACTCAATTCCTTTTGACATTATAAATATGCAGTTAAGTAACGGTTGGTTTCCCTTAATATTTTATCAGTTCAGGCAGATATCTTCTGTCAGAGTCAAAAGTTTGAATGCTTCAAGCAAACTTGTTGTGGATAAAATTTTGCAATATGTCTGACTTTGTAGACATTTTATGGAGGCGGAAAAAAACTTAATTGTTCATAAAACGGTTGAACCTGGCTGCCCATCCCTAACGTATTGAGTGTTCTGGGTCTCAGGAAAATCTTTAAGCAGTAAGATTGGCCAAAATGAGATCCCAAATTCCTAAATGCATAAGTATTTTTGATATAAAGGGTGTTAAAAAAAACCAAGCACTTCACACTTTTTCTCTCAAAGGCTTAATTTGTACCCAATCATAATGAAATTAATATCACAAATGTCTCTAGGGTGTTAGGACTACGTAAAGAAAGTTTTCGGTTTGGTCAACCCTGCTTTGAATAAATTTTATTCAAATTAAATGCTCTTTATCTCTTGGGGATGGGACTGATAAGCCTACGAACAAAAACAAACATTTGCAAATCTAAGAATGGTCCATAGCTGGTAAGTAGACCCAACATCTAATAGAAGGATACTGTAGCCCACTATTTCCAGTCAAATGCAGAACCCCTTCACTTCTCCTTCAACAAGCTTTTCCTGAGATGAGATTTTAAAAGCTTAAACCCGAGTAAAACCCAAACTCGGGCTTAGATAGAACCCAAGTCAGGATTGGTTCTGATTCGACCAATGAGAGACTGTTTAGCATGCTTTCCCTCAGCAGCAGACAGAATGCCGTCAGATTAGCTGTGACAAAAAGATGTAAATTTCAAAAATTCAAGCTTTATGTCGATCCATTATTTTCATAGTATGTTTATTTTATATATTTAATAAAATTTGACACCACAAATAATTCCAGAGATTTTAAATGCACAAATATAAAAGATTTTACGAAATTCACGATCATCAACTGCTGAAGACTCGAGCCTTAAAGAGATAAAACCCCAATATGGTTGGTTTTTACTAAACTCAAGGCCATCCAAAACACGTGTCTTCACTTGAGATTAACTTGGGTCTAAGCAGACGCAAAGACCGGGTTTTGCTCGGGTTTAAGCTTTTAAAATCTCATCTCTTGTGTAACTTAACTCTAACCTGGTCCTTGAGAGCTGAGCTTGTAAACAGCCACCGTTGCTGCAGCCTCTCATGCTTTCAGCAATAGTTTAAATCAAAGTTTGGTTTGCACATGACAATGTCCATGAAGTTTTACAATGCCCGGTAACATACCCGGCCTATAACTGAGAGTAATTGGGGCATAATAAAAAAAGAAGGTTGCGAGGAAGAAAGGAAAAAATCTCTGTCAACTGAAGCATGAAGTGATGCGAAAAAAGGATCTCCTGCGTTGGCTAATCAGTTCAATCCCCGAGAGACAAAGAGCAGTCATTCAGAGTAGTCCAAGTCCGATAATTTTTTTAAGTAGACCTAACACCCTAGAGACATTGTGATATTAATTTCATTCTGAACGGGTAAAAATTGAGTCTATGAGAGAAGAAAGTGTGAAGTTTTTTAACCTTTAGGTAAAAAATCTTTTTACTTAATCAAACAATGTAAAACTAATAGTGAAAATTACTTCAAAGCCGTTCGTTAACAGTTAGTTAAAATGGTTAAAAAAATGTCAGGTGTCTGTTCTTTATTCAACTAAGAACGAAAGTTTCGCTTTTTTAACGGAATTTACCATTATTTTTAAAAGTTAATGTTCGTTAACTATCTTAATTTTAATAACGGCGTTAATGGAAGATATTTTAGAAATCGTATTTTTATTTTAGTTGCATGCAATTTCAAGTTAAAGAATTAACGTGAATCGCCTTTATTTTGAAACACATCCGTTATTTTTTTCATGCCTTTATTTCCGTTTCTAAAAAATTTAAAAATTAACGAGTTTGCCGTTCGTTAATGGATTTTCCATTAATTTTCAAAAACTTGAGCTTTGTTAACAGAACGTGGCCCAGCCCTACATGAATATTGAATATCATGTAATCATGATAAAATACTGACGGATTGTTGCAATTAGTTCTGGATCAGCTGGTTGCTGCAGTTTCGAGGGTAAATATTATTTTAAAGGACAATATTTAAACGAGGTGCACTGGGTCCGGCTCTAGTTTTAAATTATAATCTTTAGGTGAACTGAGTCTGGTCCTGGTTTAAAAGGATAATCTTTAGGCGCACTGGTCTGGCCCTGATATAAAAGTATAATCTTGAGACGCACTGGTCTGGTCCTGGTTTAAAAGGATGATCTTTAGACGAACTGGGCATGGTCCTGGTTTAAAAATATAATCATTAGACGAACTGGGCATGGTCCTGGTTTAAAAATATAATCATTAGACTAACTTAGTCAGGACCTGGTTTTAAAGGATAATCTTTAGACACACTGGTTCTGGTTTAAAAGTATAATCTTGAGACGAACTGGGTCTGGTCCTGGTATAAAAGAATAATCTTTAGACGCACTAGGTCTGGTTTTGGTATATTGCAGTAATGAATGCTTCAATTATTTTGTTGGCCTGTACGTTTAACATAAAAAACGCTGATTTAAAATGAGAGATTAAAACTTAGCTGAGCTTTTTATAAAGCAACAAAAAAGTTTCTCGCATCTGTAGACTGAGTATTTTTTTCATAAAAGGGGCTGCAAGCGAAATTTACAGTGATTCTCCATTGCATACAAAGAGGGAAATGTCCGAATCACATCGAATACCTTTAAAACCAAAACTTGATCAATAATGTGGAAGATTCTAGCTTTAAACGTACATGTTTAATTCTGATAATTTCTTAACATGGCAATACCATGAGAGAAACGCAAAAAAAGTAAATAATAAAAAATGATTAGTAAGTGCGTTTTGTACTGTGTAAACAAATTTTCCACATGGTTTCCAGGATATACCTGGATATTGTGACAAAAAGATTCAATATATGAGAGCAAAGTTTGAAATGTCAGGGTGCTTAGCTAAAACCAGCCCTGCGGGCAGATTAAGCCTTGAAAAAGGGCAACGACAACGAACTAGAAACAAAATTGCTATGTGTTTTTTTGTATGTATGTTAAGTACATCACAGTGCTTCTAATTTTTTTATTCAAAAAATTAATAAAAAGTTTTTAAAAAATTAGTTTCAGTATGAAATATTAAAGGTTTACATATTCAGGTTGTAAAGATAAACGGGTTAGAAAGTATGTGGCAAATATTGAATATATTGCAATATTGCAATTATTGTTCAGTTCCTTTGGAAAACTATTCTACCCGGAACTTTATGCATGGGTTTATTTTGGTATTAAGATGATACTATAGATGATTTTACTCGGTTCATGGCTAAAATCTATCAATAAATATATCTATATAATTAGTGTTTGATTTAGGCGCTTGATATAAAGGATAAAGAAGAAGCACGGGCCATTGAAAGCTCAATTGTGTAAGTAAAAAAGTTCAGAATTTTAAGATGTAAAAAAAGAATTTAGGGGTTAAAGCATAAAAGTTAATTAAGTCAAAAACAGAAGCTAAACGAATGAACAAATTAAGGTAAAAAATAGGAATTAAAAAATCAAAAAGTGTTTTAAGGTTTAATATTTATTTTATTAAAAAACTAAAAGGATTAGAATGCAGCAAGTGGCTAGGTTGGACAATTAAAAAGTTAAAACAAAAGGTTTTTTCAGAAGTCAAAAGACTGAAAATTTAAAAAATAAAGAGTTTATTTAAAAGCTAGAATAAAAAGCAAAAACTTAATAGTTTATTTAAAAAATTTATAAGTTCATCAGCCCTAATTCTTCATACATGTTAATTCTTATTATCAGGACAGCGTTTCAGAGTATTGGATCTGACAAGGAGAAAGATATGCTCGATCCTTTTCAAGTTATGGTCTCTCCATCTAAGCAAAGAAACAACGGTCACACTTTGGATCATTCTTCACCAGCTCAAAACATACATACAAACGTAAAACCTACTCACGAGACTTCTCCCCTAGCTTCAAACCTAGATAGCAACGGACAACTTTCTCCTGAGACTGGTTCACAGCATCCCAACCTAGATATCAGTAAACAGCTATCCCTTAAGACCGGTTCCCAAGGTTCGAAACTAGATACCAATGAACAATCTTCTCCTGATGTTCCTCCACTAGTACAGGAAACCAATATGAAGACTGCAAAAACGGAAAGCAAAAACAAAACAAGTCAATCGAATAGACCAGGTGATAAGTAATTGCGATCTTTCAGGGAAAAAATAAATATTGATTGATAATTTAAACTATGTATTATGCTAGATCAAATAATCATATTGCTATTCCAATGAAACCCCCCCAGCCCCCGGCCACAAGTATTTTTAAAAGGTGAATAGAATACAGTTTTTTTGGAGCACATACAGAACATATCATACAAAGAACATATCCATAAAAAAAACATACTAAAACAAAACCTATCAAATCAAAAAATATCTCCTACAAAACATATTAGCACACAATATAATATAATGCAAAATCAACTTAACTCAATTCTCAAATAATATCAAAATTAAAAATAAGTTACGATTTGACATGTTTTGTTTTGATGTATTTTATATTTTAATATCTTTAGTAGGATGTGTTTTTCATGTGCTCCTCTTTTAATTGTTATTTTAGAAGAGGAGACCGGAAATGCAGACGAGGAAGAAGAAGTGAACTATTCAAATGAGTTGGAATATACATACAACTAAACAGACAATTTTTCTTTTCAAAATGTATCTTATTTTATTTAACAAATAAAATTCAAGAGCACGGGTTTCATTACAAAGAAAAATCAATGATAACGACTTTTTTAACTTGTCATATTAAGAACAAGTTTTTATATATACAATATTTAGTATTTATATATGTTTCACTGCCTACTTATATCTTGTGTTAAGAGATAAGGAAAAGCTTATCTTCCGTAACTCAAGGCTTTGTGTCAGGATTATCAATTCATGAGTCAATTATTCATCAAGATAGATTTCCAAAATTTCGAATCTTTTAAAACTGTTTCTTCACCTAGTCCGAATTATTTTTTAACACACTTAGTAAAACTCCAAAAACATGCTAATTTCATAACATGTTACCAGATTTATAAATAGCAAGAAGTAGTTAAACCACGCAGACGAAGCTGTCTCTTAAAATTAAACTTTACTAAAAAATAAGAGGTTTAACTGTATGTACGCGGTTCATCTACTTCTCGCTATTCATTAAGGTACCTAAATATTAGATCAATCCCCCCCCCCAGCATTAAACCTATACCTCTCAAACTCTCACTTAAAACCCGTGTGTCTGTCTTCCTCTCTCCCAAATTGCATTCCACCATTTTAATATTAGTTGTAATTATCCAGTTCCTTTAAACATTGATGTTGCCGAGTATTTTGTTGATTTTATGAGTAATATCCCTTGTACCACCAGTAGAGAGAGAGCCTGAGCCCCATACTACGGAAGATAAGGATTATACCTATATGTTCTCACAGTTAAAGCAGAGGTTTACTCTACATACCTGTGCTATTCATTAGTTTAGTCGTTTATTACAGAAATGTGACACTTTTAGTTCAGTTTAAATATGGAAAAGTGAAATTGAATCTTATTCATCATTGATGATGCTAGATTTAACTGATCATAAAACACTATTTATAGAAGATTTTATTGCATTTAAGACTTTTTATATCAGAGTGTTGTCATTGTTCTCAGGCGGGTTGTATAATTTTCGATGGGGGAATAACAATGCAAATAAAAAATAAATAAAAAATCGGAATTTTTAGCAAGTATTTTGATATTTTTAAAGCCACAATCCTGAAACGGCCAGAGACGGGTAAAGGAACTGAGTCTTTGCAATCAACTCCAATGTTCTAGTTCCTATTGTGAAAGTTGAATCTTATTCACGAAACTATAAATAAATATAACCCAATAACACGAAACGAGTTACTTTATTGAATAAATGGAAAAAAGGGTATCAAACGGTTAAAACTTATATACAGCTGCACTTCTTGGTCACGACGATCAGCTCCACCTCCGCTGACGCGAATTCGTACACGACTTACTCCTCCAGCTTCCTTCTCTGAACATTTCGTACAGATCCTTGAACTCTAACTTCGGGAAACCCAGGACAGAGAATCCCAAGGAAGCTTGGGCGCCAAACTTGGCGGGGTTGTATAAATATCCTTACAAACTGGGAACATAGAAAAAGGTATATATTTCCCCTGCATATTATTTACAACACGAAAATCACTATTTTGACACCATGATGGTGTAATTGTAAACCATTGATATTTCGGCTAGTGACCAGGACTACATGATCAAAAGTGCCGGACCAACGTCTGGGGAGAGTTGGTTATTCAGTGTTTGTGACAACTTTTCATGACTATATTGTGTAGTGTATACAAATACAATGTACATGCAAGTGACAAATGATTACTAAAGCCAAGATATATTTGATCCAAGATCACATTAAAATAAAGAGTTTATTCCGTTATCATATCTTCGCTCCCTGGAAAGTAATATTGTTAAAAACGCAGTTCCTAAATCTTTATTTTTAATCAAACAGGCTAATAATATTTCATTTTTGTTTACGGTTGAAGGGAGTGTTCGCAAAAAATGAAATGGGGTTTAGGCTTAATGCGATAAAAAAGCGCTTTTGATCGCTACTAATCTTAATTGATAAAGATTAAAGACGTCTCATACCGAAGAGCGTAGCGCCCATACAAATTGAGGAAATTGGAACATGCGACTTAGACCGTAAAAAAATCAAATTAATATCAAACAAATCATTCAGATATTACAACCTATAGTCATCGATTATCTTTCGCCACACTTGTATATATTTGATATTTCAAACTAGTTTTGATTTTGTTTTTTTTTAAATAAAACTTAGCTTACAACTTGCTTTCGAACATTCCTGGAAAATATGAAAATGTCGTCTTCATTACAAAAAATCCTCGAAACAGGAATAAATGTTTTTTTAAGTAACTCTCAGATCATAACAATTAAAACATATTATGAAAAATCAACTATATATAAATGTGGCGAAAGATAATCGATGACTATAGGTTGTAATATCTGAATGATTTGTTTGAAATTAAATTGATTTTTTTACGGTCTAAGTCGTATGTTGCAATTTTCTCTATTTTTATGGACGCCATGTTATTCGGTATGAGACGTCTTTAACAATTTTCTCCTTATAGACGCAACAGATAGAAGTAAGATTAGTAGCGAACAAAAAGCGCTTTTTTATCGCATTAAGCCTATACCCCCTTTCATTTTTCGCGAACACTCCCTTTAAGGTTTGAAATTATGAAGAGGCTTTTCGTAATTTTTTTAAAATTTCATTTTCTAAGTCATGCAACGATTTTAGTGTTTCTTTAGAAGCCACTCGTTTGATACATCATTGTTGTGAATGTGATACAAACCCTTAGATTGGTTACAACTTTCTTTTGCTACAAACCTATAGTTAGGTAACATTTTTACAGTGAAACAAACCTATAGTTAGGTAACATTTTTACAGTGAAACAAACCACTAGACAAGTAACATCTTTGTAGTGCTATAAAAACTGGTGGTTGGTAACATCTTTCTAGTGTTAAATCTTTTTAGAATTGCAACATCTTTGCACTGATACAAACCACAAGTGTAGTAACATCTTTGTAGTGATACAAACCAATAGTTTGGTAACATCTTTCTAGTGTTACACACAACTAGATAGTAACACCTTGATAGTGCTACAAACAAGTAACTACTAGTTTAGAAACCTCTTTGTAGTGTCACAAACCACTGGTTTTGTAATATCTTTGTAAAAAAACAAGAAATACAAACCAATGATGTTATTTTTCTATGCATAATGCGGGGTTCTCCGTGAACCAGGAAATAGTAATTTATTAAATCACATTATGTGAAATTGGTCTGTTAACGTAAACAATTGCTGTGTCTCATGTTCATTGGACTTTTTAAAGTCATAACTTGAGTCTAGAAGTCTCCTATTCACGAGTTTTCTTGGTTCTCATCGTACAATGATTGAAAGTGGGTCTAATTATATAGTCTTTATAGGTAAAATAATACATATAGACAGTATGCCTAAGAGGCAGTAATTATCAAAGCCCGGATTTTACACTGCAGTGAGGGACTTGTCTTAGTTAGGAAAGTCGAAAAATGTAAGCAGCCTTAGACCGACACTTTTTAAGTGATATCCTAAAATAGGCTTAATCTTATATTTGTTTGACATTGCAAAAGTAAAATGCATAAGGTGCAAAAGAATCGTTGTGAATTTTTTAATAAAATTCTAAAAATTAACTAAAAGTTTACCATGTTTTAGATTAAAAATGTTTGGCGGGTACTCTGGTGTCCGGAAAGACAGTTTAGAGGACTTGGAGAGAAAAACCCTGAATATGCAGGTGCAGTTAAAGTATTGAAAATGTACTCAACGGATATTAAAACTGAAACCTTATCCTTAAAAAAATAAGCTTAATAATGGCACATTTTTATAACACATTTTGCTTGATTTATTCAGGGTTATATATTATTTTGAATATTTCATAATACCAAGTATTTTACATAAATGTAGTTTTATAAGGAATCTCAACTTAGTTAACTCAACATAATCTTTCTACGTAAATCTTTGTCCTGGATAATTTCTCTTCAAATAATGGATAACTTCCCATATTATATAGAATATCACTAAACGACAAATAAAGCTTTATTATTAAATGAGTTTTACCACGACTATAGAATTGGGCAAAAAAAATGATGGCGCCCTTTATCGAAAGGCTAGCAGCTGTGATTTAAGAAGAAGGTATTCCAGAGATCCCATGGGTTTAAACAAAGAGAATAGAATATATATTAAAGTGGAATTAAGGAAATCCCTCGGTATCAGTTTTGTCAGTCCCTTTCAGCCTGAAAGGGAGTTCAAAAGTGTACAAATCATGTAAATGTTTACAAATTATATGCAGTAGAGTACATTAATACAGTATGTTCCCTAGACTATCCATTTCAATTTCGAATCTTTTAAAGCTATTAAATAAACTTTACAAAATGAATTAGGTGAATAAAAAACATCATTTGCTTTATAGTTATAACGAAAAATCATCGTTTGTAAAGTGAAAGGCTCTATGTGAAATGATCATTGGTCAATTATGAAACCAGCCTATTTCATAATTTGGTTTTCTTTTAATATTAATTTTAGATTTTCTATAAAATGATTTTCCAGGGCCCAAAAGGTTATATAGCACAAATATGTGAAGTACACATGCAATATGGAAACAGTACAACAAAATGGCAGTTTTACACTTTTTTCTAGTAAATTCCACTCTAATATATATTCTATTCCCTTTGATTGTACAGTGAAAGGCATAGAGTCTATGTGAAATGATCATTGGTCAATTATGAAACCAGCCTATTTCATAATTTGGTTTTCTTTAAAATGATGTTCCAGGGCCCAAAAGGTTATATTGCACAAATATGTGATGTACACCTGCAGTATGGAAACAGTACAACAAAATGGCCGTTTTACAATTTTTTTTCTAGTAAATTCCACTCTAATATATATTCTATTCTCTTTGGTTTTAAAGGAGAAGAATAATTTTGTTTAGCATCTTTTCTGAATAAATAGTTTCAAACTTATGTTCCCACAAACAATATTTTCTCAACGCCCTTTAAAACATGAATTTTTCTTATTAAGAACTTATCTATGTCTTTCCGCAGAAAGATGTTTATGATTGTCAGATCTATTAATACTTTCCACCCATTAAATCATTACGCTTTTAAACTTCTTTATACTTTCCTTTTTATATTTTTGTTATAATAAGGCAAGACCGTCAAATGTACCAAAAAGCGGGGTTCAATACGAATTGTAAACTGAACACTGTTGATTCTTGGAATACTTTGCGCACGTATAGACCTCTTTATTTAGAATACACTGTTGATTTTGGAATACTTTGCGCACGTATAGACCTCTTTATTTAGAATACACTGTTGATTATTGGAATACTTTGCGCACGTATAGACCTCTTTATTTAGAATACACTGTTGATTCTTGGAATACTTTGCGCACGTATAGACCTCTTTATTTAGAATACACTGTTGATTCTTGGAATACTTTGCGCACGTATAGACCTCTTTATTTAGTATACACTGTTGATTCTTGGAATACTTTGCGCACTTATTGCCCTCTTTGTTTAGTATACACTATTGATTCTTGGAATACTTTGCGCACTAATAGCACTCGCGAACTTCAGTATCTGCATATGGATCAGGTAAAGTTTTAAGTGGATTTTTTTCTTTAACATTGCACACTTTATTTCAGGAGATTAATTTTTAGAATCCTGGCTCATATCGAAACAAGAGTCGAAAATAAAAACTATAACCAACATTTTCTTAGGAATGTCTGTATCAAAAAGCTCGTAAACATTATAGTTTACATTCTGTATGATTTAATGTTTTTAACTTAGACATAATGATATTATTCATTGAAACTGCGTTTTAATCGAATACTTACCATGAATAGCTTGAATAATGCGACATACTTAAATTACACTATAAAATATGGGCAGAGATAGCTTTACTGCATTATATCTAATCTCTTTAATCCTTTAAATACATGACTTAAATTTTAACTGTGCGATAAATACGTAATATGATGGTCTTAATCATGTGATATCACCAACATTGTAGGTATCGAATTACGTCAATTCCTTGTAACCTAAGCTATTGAATAAAGTTAGTTGATTGAGACTCTGCTTTGATTATAGCAACGCAAAGTAGTCTGTGTTCTCGTTCAAAGAACTAGTGTAGATCTTGCTAATTGTTTTAGCATAAATTCGAGCTATTGTCTGATTGACATCGATAGCTCCTGCTTTGATTACAGCAACGCAAAGTAGTCTGTGTTCTCTTTCAAAGAACTAGTGTTGATCTTGATAATTGTTTTAGCATAAATTCGAGCTATTGTCTGATTGACATCGATAGCTCCTGCTTTGATTACATCAAAGTAGTCTGTGTTCTCGTTCAAAGAACCAAATAGATTGTTAAGTACAATAGATGGCAACGTAGTATTTGTACACTCTCAGTACAGCTATATTCTTACATCATAAGTGTCAACTCAGTATTGTGTCCGACAAAATTATTAATTATAGTGATAATTTTAGAATAAAGAGCTTATCTTATTGTGAAAAAGGGCAATTTTTTGTGTTGTTTATTTTTTGTTTTTACACTTTTTTATTCAATCTTGAAAAACATGTCCAATAATGTGAGAAAATTTCGTTTTCATTGTTATATTTGACACTTGTGACGTCGTGTATAATTGATCCATTTCTCTGTTGCCACCTGTTGTACTTGATAATCTATTTGCAAAGAACAAGCGTAGATCTTGCTAATTGTTTTAGCATTGATTCAAGCTAGTTTCTGATTGACATCGATAGCTTATGAGATTGTGCCTAGAGCATTGAATCAAATTTGTCTTGAAAGAGAGCTTGTGTCCTCGTTGAATTATACAAGCTGAGGTTGTACCTATAGATAATTGGCATTGACCGATATGGCTTGTGTTCAAGCATGAGAGTTAGTTCTATATCTATTGGATGCTTGTGTCCCTGTGTGGCATTTAGAGCCAGTCCTTGTTTGAGTTTAGATAGAGTCTACGCTTGAGTCCTATATTATTGGATGCTTGTGTCCCCGTGTGACATTTAGAGCCAGTCCTGGTTGAATATAGAGTCATATTTGTCCTATATTATTGGATGCTCGTGTCCCTGTGTGGCATTTAGAGCCAGTCCTTGTTGAATATAGAGTCATATTTGTCCTATATTATTGGATGCTTGTGTCCCTGTGTGGCATTTAGAGCCGGTCCTTGTTGAATATAGAGTCTAAGATATGTCCTATGATGTTGGACACGTGTGTCCCTGTGTGGCATTTAGAGTCAATCCTGTTTGATTGTGTTATAACTGATATACCTGGACAGATACGTCTTGAGTAAATTGTTATGAAGTTGGTAATTGCTACATGACGAGGACAGCAATTCCCATTATTAAATTCTTTTCTGAAATAAAAATTGAGATAGGGATTTTTTTATTTAAACCTTGACTGTTTTCGAAACTATGACAGGTTTTTCATTTTCAAAAATATCCAGAATTGGAATAATTGACGCGTTTTTGGCAAAAATCTCACTTTTATGTTAATTCCGATTTAAAGTATAATCTTTTAAACAAAACTAACTTACATAACTTATGAAAAAATCATAAACATTAAATGTACTTTGCTAAATTATTTCAAAGATCTATGTCTCATTTATATTGTAATGGTTAATCATATATGAAAAAAAATTGGGGATGATTCGAAATTTGAGTCACAAAATGAAAATATATTCATGCTCTATACTCTTGCGTTGTTAAATTACATTTTATTTATCTGTAGGTTTGATCTTGATTTTTGGGAATGGATTATAGAGATCGGATGGTATTCCTACTGGAATGCGATGTATGTTGTCATGATTGGAATGGTTCTTACCGCATTAAATTCAGGCAATTGTTTCAAAAGTCTGTTTTTTAATAATTTTATTATGTAACATATTTTAATGAATTCAGATTTTCACAGCTTCAGAGACAAAAGTGGTAACCCACCAGCTATATATTGCCTTTTTAGAAATGTTGCTTCAAATTTCACGTAAGCCTAAAAATGTCCTTACTGTTTAGGCGAACTTTCTCGGGGAGGGTGGGAAAATAATATATACATAAATAAACATGGGAATTCAGTGACGAATTCGATATCGTCTTTTCAAATAATTCTTTGATTTAGTATAGTGATACCTACTGAGAACGCTGTAATCTGTAAGAGTTTCGTCTGCAATGTTCACATTTTGTTTGTTTATGTTTTGACTGCATACGGTTGTACTTGATAAAACAAGAAAATTCCAGTAAACAAACAGAGTAAACTTGTTCGTCTTCACTGTTCATCTTGCGGATACATTATTGACACATCTTTACAGCCATTTACCGTTTTCAAAAATTAAACTCTGGCAAGCATAACTATATTATGACTTTTACAATTAGGTATTACAATGCTAATTCATAACAAAGACGATATCGAATTCGTCACTGAACTCCCATGTTTTTTGGGAAACCCTGTATATATTATAGATATGTATATTCAGAAAATTTATTCGTTGTAATATTTATACCTAAAAGCTTGTAAATGGAACTTAAAACTTCCTTTACAGAGTATAAACTAAATGAAATATTCAGCTCTGATGTGCTACTCTGTAATGAGTGAGAGTAGAGGTTTAATGCTACTTTCAGTAGTTCTCAGGTAATAATAATAATATAATATAATATAATATATAAATTATTAGGTATTGGACGATATTCAAAATACCACGGGTATATAAATCAAATCTATAGTTATTGGTCACTGTTTAAAATACCATGGGCAACGCTGTGTACATAAATCATAGTTAGTTGACGATTTTTTTCGCCGTACTAATGTTTCAATTAATATTTAATATCATATTCCTTTAAATAATTTGTAACAAAGGATTAATCAAATTGTGAACATTCTTTTTATCATATTGGGAACATTTTTGGCATCAAATCTCAAGCGGTGGGAGGTGGTGGCGAAGGTATCCGTACCCCCACTGTGGCCGCCTTGGCATGCCATGCTATAAATGGATGGTCATTTAAGTTCTTTATAAAATGGTAAAAGATTGCTAACGAAACCTATTTTTCTTCAGATTGATTATTTGGTGTGTTGTACTTGCGGGTGCCGTGGTTATCTGCATCTACGGAGTAGAAGAGAGTGATTTACTAGTCAGAGAATTAGATTTGGTAAATTTCTTATACAATTAAATATATCATAAAAAAATTAGCATGTAATCACTTTTTATTTCTTAGTTTTTGTTTATTGTTTAGAAGAATTGGACAAATGATCAAGACAATAAATATTTTTTCCAGTTCATAACAAAATTCTGCAATCTTTTAAAAATCGACGTCTATGTGCTGGAATTTTTTATTTACAAAAAAAAACCTTAATTCGAATAGATCTTTATATTATTATCAAAAGAATAAAATTTAGAATTTTCGTCTACGTACAGGTTTGCTTCGTCGTGTTAAAAATTAAAGGTTTTCGAAAATCTAAAATTCTGGATTATTTGCGTTAAATCTGAAAAATCATTACTTAAATTTGTGACAACAGCTTACAAACTTAGTCACAAATAAGTGATACTGAGTTTCAATGCGTGAAAAATTAAGGAAATCTTGGATTTAAACCTTTTGTCTATCATTCAGTGTTGAAGGATCAATCTTATGAATATTAATAATTTTAATAGATTTTCCGTAATCTGATTAACAAATGGGACGAGGACCCCCGAGCTAGCAGGATATTGAGGATGATACAAGAATATGTTGGTTGCTGTGGAGCCTCGGGGAACAGGTAGCATTCTAGAGATTTTGCAGGGTTACGTCAACAATCTACCGATTTTACAGGCTACAATTAATAGGATTACAGGGGAAGAGAAGTAGTGAGGTGTTCATTTTGAATTATAATCCACATTGTTGAACATTAATATTAAATGGTTTCCCTGTCCCACCACGATTAGACAAGGCTGTCCAAGCAAACTGTGCACGTCAAAACTTTTAATAACTTTACGGATAGTCCCACCCAACTTCCATCCACTGAAAGGGTTTTGGTATTAAAATTAAAAACTACGCAACGATTCTTTTTGGTGATTTTTAACTAATTACTTATCGGTTCTTTTTGCTAGAAATTTTATAGTTTTCTGTTTTATTTCTCTCAAAAAGTTTCGTTCATTAACGGAACTTTCCCAGACCTACTAACATCCAATGAATGATATTTTTGGCAGGAAAATTCCATAACATACACATTTTATGGGGAGGCCAATAAACATGGGAATTATAAGTTACAACTTCTGTGTCGTCTTTGTTCTGTGTGGCATTATTTCGTAAACACAATTTTATGTGTATCCTTGTCATCATTGTTATTACAGTAAATAATTAAACTGCTAGTCTCGAGATTTACACAATGCGGTATTTGGTATACCATTTTTCACCTTCAAAATCGACGGAGATATTGAGAAATTTGTCCAGATTCCAGTCTATTGATAACAAAAAAATTGTTGAAATGTTTAATATCTCAGTAAATTAAAAAGATACAAAGAAGGCAGATCACATTTTGGACAGCTCATGAAAGTTAAGTCATTTTTTTAAAATGTCATTTATCAATTATCGGAAATCTAAGATGATTTTCAAGTGTCTCTAAATTCCTATGTTTATTGGCACACCCTGTAGTTTAGGTTGGGATTTCGTCAGGATTAGTTTTTTTAATTAAAAACGGTTATTTCGCTTGATTTTCACTAATACCTGTTCTTTCCACTCCTTACCGGAATTTCTCATTAATTTTCAAAAGCTTTTGTTCGTAGAAACTTTCCTCTACCCTATTTATGACAGCCTAAAACTTTGGTCTTTAGGCTAAAATATATTCTTGTAAATACTGATATGCTTTTTAACAAACAAATGACTGAAGTTTACGCGGTAAAAATAATAAATTCAAGAAATAAGACCGAATCAATTTAACAGCCTTCTTGCTTTTTTGTGATTAATCCTGATCTGATTTTTTAATTAAGAAAATATTAATTTTTCTAAACAAAAAATTTCGACCGCCCTACAAAGAACAAAGCTAGGTTTTAGAATTCGTAAGAAATTGGTCCTTCTGTATCCGGCCGAGGTTCACCAACCAAGATATAAGACAGATATTTATAAGACAGATATAAGATATTTATATATTTTACTGATGCAAAACATTTTTTTTATTTCCAGGGATGATTACTTCAATGTTAGAAAAGTTATTCCCATGGAATGTAGGCATCCTGTTACAGGTATTTGAATATTTACGACCTAACGGTGGTGTTGAGACATTTAATAACTGACAAAGTTTTAAGAATCTGAGATTGAAATGGTCGAATATGATTAACACGTAAATTTTGTTGCAGGAAATAATTACCTGCACGGTTGCCCGCAAACTCTAGCCTGGTGGCTTGAACCCTGGACTGCTACACTCTCCGCTCTATCATTACTCTTCACTCTCACAGGAACCAAAACCATTTTTTCATGTAATTCGGTGCTCTCGATATTCGGACACATAAAATGACTCCCTTGATCCAGATTCTCAAAAATATGTTCTTTAATTTTTACAAATCGACCATTTTCTTTTCATGTGTTGTCAGCCGACTTTCTCATTACTTAAAAATTGAAATACAAAAATAATGTTTGGGTTTTATCAGATATTCCGATGATCTTCCTCAACTTAAAGCTTAGATCTCTACTGCTCCAACTCCAAGAATAATAAAAATATAAACTCGTGTCAAGTTCAAATAAAATGTAAACAATTTTTGGAATAATGATTTTTAAACCAACAATAAGAAAACGTTACAAACGATGAGACTGTAGAACGACCTAAAACTATTTAAGTATGACAACTCCAGGGTAAAATTAAGGTTTCAGGCAATTAAATATATTACTTTTTCTTAATTTATGATTTAGAAAAGAAAAAAAGTTTACAGTGCAGGAAATCAAAAATATTAGGAAATAAGCAGCTAAAATTCCGTACATTCGTCTCTGAATTCTCATCCTTTGTGGATAACCCTGTAGATAAATATGTCACTATAGTCTTCTCCTTTTATAAGTTACAGTAAACTATAAAACAATGAAACCTCATCCATTCAAATTTCATATTAAAAAAAAAAAATAATTAGATTATACAAATTTATTGTTCTTCACAATTAGATAATACATAAAAAACTATCACAAATTCATAAGTTTTCAGACCCCCCCCCCCCTCTACTTCGTTGGAGGAGAAGATTAAGTATCAATAACATATAAATTCGAAATTCGATGTTAAATCAAGAATTCTTGTTAAGTGGAAATATATAAAAGAATCAAGCAAATAAACATCAAAAACGATCAACTTAAATACCAATTTTTTTTATAATTTACGACTAAATTTTAAATAGCTACACTGCTAATCCCGGAAATTGATTAAATAGCTACACTGCTTATCCCGGAAATTGATTAAATAGCTACACTGCTTATCCCGGAAATTGATTAAATAGCTACACTGCTTATCCCGGAAATTGATTAAAGACTTGAAAGGCGTCTTTGACCACAGACAAAGTTTGAGGCATTCATTATCAGCAACCTAACTTTTGCAATATTTCTTGTGAAACAATATTCACAACAAAATAGTTCTAGTCCTGCCATTTCCAAAGTGTGGTCTGCCATTTTTTTGGCTTGTAAAAATGCCAGAGATATTAAGAATTTTGCTTAAATTTCAATTTATTAAATAATACCAAACGTGCAAGAATAGAATGATGCTATATAGGATTTATATACAAGGTAGATATGTATAGTCCTACCTATACGGATATATTTGACTTTTACCCACGCTGATGTCTAATTCTAAACAAAATCATTCATATCTCCGGTGATTATGAAAAAAAATAAACCACATTTTGTCAATGGTAGGACTAAGTACTATTTTGTGATCAATGTTTAATAAAAAATATTGCTAAAATTAAGTTGCGGAATGCTTTTAATTATAATGAAAACCGCAATCTTTTTCAATGGTCACAGACGCCTTTCAACTTTCAAGTCTTCAGTCAATTAAATATCATTCCGGGTTCTTTAGATGAGCACTGTATGAAGTATTGCTTGAATATGGTAGATATTGGTTGGATGATGTTTTTTTCTCCTTAAAATTTCAAAGTTGGTAAAGATTAAAATAGCAGTTTTTAATGCTCGCTTTTAAGTGGTCTAAAAGAGTGTAACCAAACCCTCTGATGGTCTAAGAATTTTAAATAGTGTTGATCTCTTAACAAGACGGCGGAAGATTGCAACCGCTATATTTGAGATATCTTGACATAAGGCCGGGAGATTGCAACAGCTTTATCTGAGATTTCTAGACAGGAGGCCGGGTAATTGCAACCGCTTTATCTGAGACCTCTAGACAGGAGGGCGGGAGATTATAACAGCTATATCTGAGATCTCTAGACAGGAGGTCAGGAGTTTACAACAGCTATATCTGAGGTATCTTGTCAGAAGGTCAGGAGTTTGCAACCGCTATATCTGAGATATCTTGTCAGAAGGCCGGGAGATTGCAACAGCTTTATCTGAGATCTCTAGACAGGAGGGCGGGAGATTATAAAAGCTATATCTGAGATCTCTAGATAGGAGGGCGGGAGATTATAACAGCTATATCTGAGATCTATAGACAGGAGGTCAGGAGTTTACAAGAGCTATATCTGAGGTATCTTGTCAGAAGGTCAGGAGTTTGCAACCGCTATATCTGAGATATCTTGTCAGAAGGCCGGGAGATTGCAACAGCTTTATCTGAGATCTCTAGACAGGAGGGCGGGAGATTATAACAGCTATATCTGAGATCTCTAGACAGGAGGGTGGGAGATTATAGACAGGAGGGCGGGATATCTAAAATCTCTGGACAGGAGGTCGGGAGATTATAACCGCTTTATCTGAGATCTCTAGACAGGAGGGTGGGAGATTATAGACAGGAGGGCGGGATATCTGAAATCTCTGGACAGGAGGGCGGGAGATTATAATTGCTAAATTTGAGATCACTAGACCAGAGGAAGGGAGATTTTAACTGCTTTATCTGAGATCTTTAGACAGAAGGGCGGGAGATTGCAACCGCTATATCTGATATCTGAATTGTGGAAATGGAATGAGAAAGAACAGAACCTCCCATAGCTATTCTAGAACTCTCATCATAAAGCTAAAAAAAATTATATGAGTTTATATGAAAACTAGCTGAAGTGCCCGGTGTTGCCCGTGAAATAAAATTTTAAAATGTTACCCCTGGGTTCCCTAAAAAATGTCAGCCCATTCGGTCCAGCCGTTTGGCCGGCTATAGGAAACATAAATACGAATGTCTTGTTATATTATAAAGATGAAGCAAAAAAACATTTTTACCTTCGGGGTGTCAGAGCTCTCTTGAATATCAAAGGATTCACTTGTAGAGTCAGGTATGACAGCTTTCACCTATATTTAGATGCTGTTATAATCAAAGCCCTCATATTGATGTAATCGAGACATAAAAAATTTAAGATCAATATCTTGCTAACATAAAAAATTTATTCGAAATATCATAATTACTAATTAGCATCAAGCATAAGCCCTTGGTGTATTGGGATTTCCACAATTTGATCTGCATTATTTTCAGGGGCGTATTCAGGAATTTGTCCAGGGGGGGGGTTATTTTTAAGAAAATGTATAACTGTTAAATTTACCTGTGGAATATGGTCACTAATATGCTTGATATATCCAGGTTTGCTTGGTGTTTCAAAACTACACTCTTCACATCTGAACACCTCTCCAACACCATGCATCTTATACAGATGCACTTTCAAGCCTTCCTTCCCTTCACATTTCTCAGGACACACTTGACAGAAGAACTCCTCCCCTTTTCCATGCATACAAGCTGTGTGTTGTTTTAGTTGTATGGAACTGTAAAAACTAATTTCACACTGATCACAGGTATACTCGGAGTTAAGTTTCTTTACGGTTTTAATATGCACACCACCACTACTTGAATTTCCTACAACTGGAAAAAGTGAGTCTTTAGTCTTCTGAGAAACATTGCTTGTGGAAGGTCCAGACTCTTCTTCGTTATCTTGAATAATGTAACCTATATGCGGGTTATCTTGCTGCTGGGATTCTATCGTTAAATCTTTCCGAACCTCTAGATCCCGTCTTACCTCCAGGTCTCCCTTCTTGTTGTATAGAGATCCTCTCTTCTTACCTTTTAACTGTTCAACACATTTAGACTTTCGTTTCCTTTTGCCCTGGAATGGACCAACCGGGACACCAGATCTAATTGCTTTGTTCTGGAGTGCCAATGGAATTCCAGATCTAATTGCAAGCATATCGTCTGATAAACCAGCTTTGGTTCGTGAATCCTCTTCCTCCCAAGTCGGACTTTTTCGACCAAACTCCATTTCTTCTTCTAGGATTTCGTTTGACAGAGAGCTTTTGGACTTGGTTGAGACAGTGACTGGAGTTATTGGTGGACCTGACATACCATAGGTGGGAGAGGAAGACTTCTGCGGTTGGGTCCAGGAAACCATAACATTTGGTGGAGTGTCTCTAGGCCCTTTCGATTCTACAGTTGATGTTGGGGGTGTAGATGTTTCTTCCCATTTTGCAGATGTAATATTGGTAACAACCGGAGGCCTTTGAGTGCACCATGCATTTGTGACAGGAGTGTTCCAAGAGATTGGATGAGCATTGGAGCTGACTGTGATCAAAGGTGACTCCCCAATGGATTGAGATTCAGGCTCTGCTGGTAGATTCCAAGGCTGGGAAGACATTTGTGGTAGTTTAGTTTGAGTGTCTGTATTGGGTAATTGCCATACGGCGCCAGTAGTGGGAACTGTTGCAGTAGCCACAGATTCAACTGGATGTGTCCAGTTATTCTGACGGTTTGAAGTAGGCCAAGCGTTTTCAGACCAATTACCCAGGGGAGTGCTTAGTCCAGTATTAGATATGGAGGACTCAGCTTCATCCTCTGATTCTGAAGCTGAGACAACCTCAGCAATGGGCTGTAATTCAGAATTATCTAATTCATTACCAGAAACTGAGTGAAGTCGCACTCCGGAGCTTCGAGGTGTTACGGGAACACTTGAATGAATGTGCGGAACATGAGAAACCTGGGAGGAGAGAGCAACCTGTGAGACCTGAGAGGGAATATGTCCGGAACCCTGATGATGTATCGTTATCTGTCCTGATCTTCTTCTGGATTTATTCATCTCCGTCATACTTGGAGTTTGAATATTTTCACTCTGCGGCAGACCTTGGTTGATCACACGGAGCTTACCCTGAGATAAACTTTTGCCTGGACTATAGAACTTCTCTGCTTGGTCCTGAGCAGTAAACTGTTTGCTGTCAACGTGCTTCAATTGGTTACCACCGAGCGTAAATGAAGATTGCGATATAAGAGCAGTATTCTGGTTGAGCTGGGCAACTGATATATGAGGAGCAGGAGATTCTGGTTTACCAGCTAAGGAGGTTTTTACAGTTGGATTATCTCCATCCTCACCTCCGCCTGATGCTTCAAACAATGCTTGAATTGAGGCCTGAATTATGATGGATTGAAAATCAATAAAATATTAATGGGTGAAAGTCAGTAACATAATTTGAGTTTAACAGTTTGATAATAATTTTTTACCATTCCAAGACCAATTTATTATACACATTTCCCCAATCAAGTTCCATTATAAAGTTTATCGAACAAGATTTTTGTTTGGCCAATTCCATTTTTTCTTCTTTTATTTTGTTTCAATTTAGACCATTCCTGTGATCCTGGTATTCCCATGTTGATATCTTGAGGTGAACTAGCAGTTGAACTTACAACAGTCCGAATCTAAACATATTTCAATTCTTAAAAAGCAAAGGACAATAAGCTGTGTATAAAAATAAAGTTGCAAAGATTTTTTTTAACGTTGTGGAAAAACAAAATGAAAAGTAAGAGGTAAACTTGAAGATTTTTTGCCCCCCCCAAAAATTTGTTTACTCCCAAAATTCTACATTTTTAGAAAACATTCTTGGAAACCAGATTTGTCCTCACCCTGTTAGTACTAAAGTCTGCAGTATGGTGCATGTGTGTATGGTTGGAGAATAAATTCGGCCATTCTTCATGAAAGCTTTGCTCTTGCATCATTTCAGGAATATTACGCGGCAGTATATCTTGAATATTCCTGAAATATTAAATTTTGAACTTTGTCACAATCTGAAAAATTAAATCATAAACTATGTTAGAATCTAAAATATTTAAGTATGGACTATGTTACAATCTGAAAAATTAAATCATAAACTATGTTAGAATCTAAAATATTTAAGTATGGACTATGTTACAATCTGAAAAATTAAATCACAAACTATGTTAAAATCTAAAATATTTAAGTATGGACTATGTTACAATCTGAAAAATTAAATCATAAACTATGTTAGAATCTAAAATATTTAAGTATGGACTATGTTATAATCTGAAAAATTAAATCATAAACTATGTTAGAATCTAAAATATTTAAGTATGGACTATGTTACAATCTGAAAAGACTACCAACATGGTATCCCATTCCCCAGACCACCGTCATGAAAGGAACATTGCAAGCAGACGCAATGTATTTTCTTTAAAAATCATTTCTGCCAACCCTCCTGATTTTTTTTTTTTTTTTGGGGGGGGGGATATTTTTAAATATATTAACTTCTAAAACAGATTTAACAGATTTTCTGTTTCGTTATGAATAATTGTAATAAAACTAACCTGTATTGCTCTGATACAGAGCAGTCCCCTGTCAGTGTGGTTTCTCCGAAGGATATTGGAATAATATCCTGCTGGTCAGACAGAGAAGCTGAAGACACAGGAAATATTTATCCGGATAATATGATAATAGTTAGATATTGATGTAGAGAATATGTAAGGTCTTACATTTGTCAATTTTATTTTTAACCTCACATTTTAAAGTCACATCTCTTTCATTCATTAAACTATCCCTTGTATAACTATTCCTTGAATAACAATAACACCCATACAACTGCAGGGACGTACTGGCATGGGGGAGGGAGGGAACCCCCGGACGCCATGAGCCTCCGCTATACAGACACGAGCCTTTAGATTTGCTAGACAGACCAAGCTTCCACTATACAGACCAAGCCTCCACTATGCACACCGTGCCTCCGCTATGCAGTGAACGAACCTTAACCATATAGAACAGCTTTTTTTAAATCTTGTTTTTATGTGTAATGAAAAATGTTAACAATTTTATCTTGACATAGTGGCATGAGAGGTTTCTCAAAGATGAGAAGTATTTATTAGTTATCATAAATAGTTCCTATTTATTACTAATTCTTTACGTGAAAAGAAAAATATTTAGAGTAAAAAATTTGAATTGAAGTCCAATTCATCTTTTATAATCTTTGATTTAGGCAATACCTTTTTTGTAGTTCAAATAAAATCTAGAAAATTTGTATTTTTCAAAAAAAAGGTATTGTTTAAATCAAAGATTACAACAAAACAAACTAAATTTACTCCAGAAATATTTCTCCAAATATTCTCCTTACTGTCTAAGAAATGTTTAAATTTTAGTATAAATCTTATAAACCACTTTATGAGTCCATATATGTTTTTAATCATGACCATCAATAAATAAATATAATCTTTAGTAAAATTTGTAGAAACTGGTACCGTAGAAGATGGCGGACCGAGCAACGAAGACTACGAACGGAACAGACTTTGAAGACTATGAAGATTGGTTTCTGGAATGTGAACGGGTTGCAATACACTGTTAAGAAACAAACGGTGGTGGAGGCGTTGGAAACTCAGGAACTAAGCGTCCTTGGTCTGGTGGAAACCTATATAAGAGAAGGAAATCATGAGGACCTGTCAATGTTCCGAGGATACCGGACGATAACAGTAGAGAGGGGATATGGAGAGAAAGCGGGAGGAGGGTTAATGATATTAGTCAAGGATGGGATAAAACACTCTTCATGGAATCCAGTGTATCCTGAGACACCAGGGACGGAAAAAGAAAAATCATGGATCATCCTACACTCAGGAGAGGCAAGGATTGCTGTAGGGTTTGTTTACATGGCAGCACAGGTACCCGGGTCAGAAGGATACAGAACTTGGAATACAAGTATGTACCTGAGCTTACAAAAGGACCTGGAGAAACTAAGGACAGATGGATATGAAGCGTATATTCTAGGCGACTTCAACGGACATGTTGGCAACGGTGAAGATGGTATTATTGGGAATCTGCCTAATGTAAATTTTAATGGTCGTCTGCTCCAAGATTTTGTGTCTGTTAACACACTAAAGATGGTGAATGCGGACCAAGAGCTAACATCAGGACTCTTCACAAGATCAGCAGGGGGATTCTCGACAGTGTTAGACTTTGTACTGGCTACAGGGGGAGCATCAAGCAGAATACGTAAACTTCAGATTGACGAAGAGGGAGATATATTCTCTGGAAGTGACCATGCTGGTCTGGTGCTCGAAATAGAGGCAGTGGAGGATGAACCAAATGATGACTTGGAGGAAGGGGATGAAATCCGAGTCCCAGGGAATGCTATCTTTACGGAGTTCAAAACATGCCTGGACGAGTTACTTGTCCAACAGACAGAGTATGATGAACTAAGCCTAAATGAGAAATGTCTTCGGCTACAAGATATAATAAGACAGGCAGGAATGAAAATATTTGGCAAACCAAAACAGAAAGAGAAAAAACGAATTAAAGTCAAAATCAGCAAATCCTTGAGAAAACTTAAGGACAGACAAAAATGGCTGGAAAAATCAACTAAGAGATTATCAATAGCTAAAGCAGCTCGTAGAGTGGCAGGAGCTATCTGGAATCAGGGTGAGGAACACAAACTCAATAGGAAGATGAATCTACTGCAGGAAGTGTCCGACCAGTGCAAGGCTCAGAGTCTAGAGGACAAGATGAAGCGCAGAAATGAATTAAGGATGAAGACTATATTAAAATCCAAACAATTCTGGGCACTGGTGAAAAAAGTGGTGAAACAGATGTCGGCCTTAAGTGCTGTGGAGGATGCAGATGGAAACCTAATAACTAACAGGAAATTGATAGAGGAGGTGGTACTGCTAGAACTAGGGAAAATCTATAGAGGACAGAGATCCAGGATATTTGGCTTCAAAGGTGAACAGTTGGTCAGGGCAGCATATACAATGCATCATGAAGATCAGGGAGAATGGATCAGAAGAGATCATGTGAGCACAAAATTTGAAGCAGAAGTCTGTGCTCCAGTATCTGAAAGGTTTATCCAAAGTATGGTAAATAACCACAAGGACAAGAGAGCAACAGGAGTAGACGAGATACCAACCCTATTGTACAAGAATGCATCAGAACTGTTCAACAGAAAACTCACGGACCTAGTCAATATCTGTCTTGAAACAGGAGAAACCCCAGAGTGCTTAAACATCGGAAAAATGACTCTAATAGACAAAAAGGAAGCGTCATTAAAAATCTCAAATAAACGACCGATTAGAGTATCCAATCTGATGTTAAGTGTAATTACAAAAACAATTAACTACAGAATGCTGAAGGTATGCGAGAGAGAGAACCTTTTTGGGGAAACTCAATATGGATTTAGACCAGGGAGATCTACTACAGATTGTATCTTTCTCTTGTTGGCTGCAGTGAGAAAGGCAAAGAAGAAAAAATACAGAATATCAGTAGCTTTCTGCGATCTACAGAAGGCTTACGATTCGGTTGACAGAGAAACTTTATATAAAAAGTTGTAGTTCAGTGGATTTGGAGGTAAAGTGGTGCAGCTGATACAGTCCATGTATTATAATGATAATGTTGTGATCAAGTTAAGCCAAGGAGTATCAAGTCCTCTATGGTTTACACGCGGAGTTAAGCAAGATGTGCACTATCACCATTACTGTTTGCTCTATATATTTCTGGATTGGGAATTCGCCTACAAGAGACAAAGCGAGGGATTGATGTTGGAGGAATACATCTGACCGGACTGTTTTTCGCTGACGATCTTATACTTATTTCTAAGACTCCAATCAGAGGAATGTGTTTTCTACTAGGGGAATTAAACCAGTTCTGCTCGAGTATGAAGATGACACTATCTGTTGGGAAATCATTCGTTCTCACAACAGGGGATCCTGGTAAAAAATGGAGGATTGGAAATTCTGAGGATATGCTGGAGGAGTTGCTGACTGCCAAATACCTAGGAGTAAACATTCAGCTGAGAGGCAGGTGTATTCTACGAAGAGAGAAGGATGTGATCTCAGCAGCAAGAAGGTATGCTCACTCAATCATGAGTTTAACAAGAGCTGGACTGGATAGATCAAGACTAGCCAGGATCTTGTGGGAAACATGCGGGATCCCAGCTATCCTCTATTGCTCGGAGGTTATGAGCTTTAACAGTAAAACAATAGAATCCCTAGAGAAAATCCAGGGAGAGGTTGGGAATTTTATTCTCCAAGTCCCTCACTCAACTGCACGGGTATCCTCATGGACTGAGGCAGGACTAATGCCAATGAAGTTTAGAATATGGATGAGAAAGGCTAGGTATTACTGGAGAGCAGTAACTAAAAAAAAGGACCCAATTCTTACAGAATGTCTCAGACTAGTACTGGAGAACCCAGAGGAGGATGAATGGGCCAGAGACATCAAGGAAATAGAAGATGCTATCAAGTCAAACATTCCTGATTTGTTGCTATCTCAGCTACGCAAAAAAGTGAATGATGTGGCAATTGAAGCAGTACTAGATGCTAAACAAGGTCTTCATTCGTTACAGTCTCAACCACAACCAAGAGAGTGGTTCAAACTACCGGAACATGTAAATGACTGTAGACGCAGTAAAATCATAAGCATGGCCAGGTCTGGCAACTTACAGTTAGGGAACCGGATGAGAAACAAGTATGGAAATCAGAGGAAAACATGCCCAATCTGTAGTACAAACGGCAGGTATGTTAAGCTGAATGAACTCCACGTACTGCTTGAGTGCCCGGCAACAGCAATTGAGAGGAAAGACTGTGGAGTAGCTGAATACGAAGAGAAGTACCCGGGAATGGCCACTAAGTACATCCTTAGACGGTACCTGGGACAGGATGGATGCAATAGAATGGAACTTCTAAAACGGGCAAGAAGCATCCATTTGATGGCAGAGAAATGGATGGACCTGACTAAACATATGTGAGGTAAGAATTGAATAAATCGTTAAACAAATCAAGGAAATAATAGCAATATTAGAACATAAAATGTCAGATGAAAGATATAAAGTAGTTATTTAAATTGATAGCTGAAAATAGACGGGGAATAGACGTTCCATAATAGTGGGGAATTGTCATATGCCAGACAAAGATAAAGCAATCATTAGAGACCATGCTGATTTTACATAGAAACAAACCATCCCTTGTACAGGGCATGTTGCCCAATTAGGGGTGGGTGGGTTGGTGGATGTCAACCTTGGGGCTCGGTCTACTCAGGTTCCTGATAATCCCAACACCCGGTACGCTTACATCCAGGGTTCAATAATAGAACATGCCCTAGGCGGTTTACAAACAGACGACCCCAGACGTGATTGTACACGTATCGTGAGGGGAAGTACTGATGGGTGTGGCTTCATACGGGGATTAAAATCCCCCAGAAGTTTTGTTTAATAATAATAATAATGCCACTATGCCAAAAAAAATTGTTAACACTTTTTATTGCACATAAAACCAAGATTTGAAAAAGGTGTTCTGTATGGTGGAGGCTCGTTCACTGCATAGCAGACTCTCTCACGGGGGGGGGGGGGCAATCCTGTGTACCCCCTAGACATGCCCCCTCTAGACATTTGACAATTTGTCCATTTTATAATTATTGCTCAAATTCTTTCTTAAGCTTATTAATTAACATTTATTTTTATCAGGGATTCATTTAAATCCATATTATATCATATAATTGTATAATTGGTAATTATGGTCGGATGAAGGAAAGCCAGGTAAGTTAAGGTCTTAATACGGTTTTTTATGGGTGTTAACCAAATTTCTTGTTTGCCAGACCTCCAGTATTCCCCTGATAGGAAGTTGAAATACTAATGGTTATTTAAATGTTATTTTACATTTTACCACATTTTACAACAAATAATAAACAAGAAAAATCTTACAATAAAAAAGTTCCAAAAAAATATGAAATTTTTGAACTATTGGGATTTGAACCATTCAGTTTCTGGCAGAATGGGAGATAATTCCTTAAACCTTGGAAATATATGAAAATGGTGACTAATCCTATAAACCTTGCAAATATTTTGAAAAGCAGATAATTCCTTAAACCTTGCAAAAATATGAAAATGGTAGATGATCCCTTTATCCTTGCAAATATTTGAAAATGGCAGATGATCCCTTTATCCTTGCAATAATATGAAACTGGCAGATAATCCTTTCAACCTTGCAAACACATGAAAATGGAAAATAATCTTCATAACTTTGCACATATACAAAATTGGCAAATACACCCTTTAACCAGAACCTTGCACACCTATGAAAATGGAAGATAATCCTTTAAACCTTGCTTCTATATTAAAACGGCAGATGATTCCTTAACCCTACAAACATATGAAAATGGAAAAAAATCCCGATAAATTTTCACAATAGAAATTGGCAAGAAGTCAGGGTAAAAAAGTTGGAGTATTAAACTAAATACCTTCGTCTCTCTCTATGGTTGAAAGAAGAATTATATCATCACTGCTGGGACCAGAGTTACCAGGAAAACTAAAATTTATGATTTCGTTCAATCCAATAGATTCAGGATCCAGGATTTAAATCAAAAAAGATTTAACAGAATCGAAAACCGGAACTGAATCCATTTAGATGTAAACTGAAAAGTATTCAGTCTCGATCATCTTTAACACTGCAAACAAATAATTGTCTGGTCTGATAAACTGGAAGAAAGAAAACATTTTAATCCATATATGAGAAAATTCGACACAAATAGTACTTTCTTCTGTTTCAAATTTTAAGACCTGTCCTATAAAGAACAATACACAAATTTTGAGAAGAATTAACTGTACAAAAGTACACATAATTGGTAGACTCTGGGTGGTGTAATTTCCAACCTACTTTACTTCCGCTTTACTGAACGTCCGACCTACGTACACATGAATTATTTCAAGTTTAAAATTACTAATATTGTTTCATTAAAAAGACAATTAAATATATTATAGATTTTTAGAATGATTACTTAAATTATTTATTTTCTTATATTCTGATTACTGAAGATTTTTAAGGAGCTAAGGCGCTTTTTATAAATAAAAAGTTTACAAAGTTGTGTTTACTTGAACATGGGAGAGAAGGGTCAATAATTCCTATTTCCAGATTGAGCTAGTTCGTTAGTCCAAGTTCAGAAGAGGGGAAGTATCATTAGTCCCATAAAAGATATACTGTAATTTTTTTTAAATGCCGTCTTTGCTTGGTTGCACCGGAATAGAGGACAATTAAACATCCAGAAATTTGAGCAACTTGTGAACAAGACCAAGTATAAAAAAAGTCCCCATTTAGGATGAATATTGGCACCCAGCAGGGGTGTATATTAGTTGCAAGACTCATATTTTTGCCCCCCCCCCTTTTCAGAATCATATTTTTTTCCCCCAATCCAGGGGGAGTGCAGGGCCCCCTTGCAAAGACAAGTTGTGTGTCAAACCAGACCGAAATATATTTTCAATAAATGTGGAACTAACATCTACTTTTTTTCCATCTTTTTTTTCTTACTACTCTACAGAGGTTTCGTCCTTCAACATCACCGAATTTAATTTTTTTCTAAGCATTTCTGATACTGTTATTTAAAAAAATTTGTTGTGGTTTTTTCCTTTACTCTTCCCCCTTTTCCCTTTCCTTTTCACTTCCCTCCCCTCGCATCCCTTTCCCCTTCTATTTTTCCCCCTATACCCATTTTCCCCTTCCCCCTTCCACTTTTCCCTTCACTCTTCCCCTTTTCCCTTCACTCTTCCCCTTTTCCCTTCCCTCTTCCTACTTTTCTCTTTGCTTTTCCTTCCCTTTCCCCTTCGCTTTTCCTTCTCCCCTTTCCCCAAACCCAATGAAAGCTCATATTTACATATACACCTAAGTTTATTATGAGTTTTTAAAGATCGGAATGACATAAGAATGATTTTGTTAAAGAGACTGTCGACGTAACTTCAAGTAACCCTCTATTTCAAGAGAGGCATGTCCGTTAAACAAATGTTTTTGATGAAAAAAAAAAACTGAAGTTCCTCTTTACAATAAAAAACGAACCGAAAAAAATAGAAATAAACCCAATTTCTTAATTACCTGTTTAAGAATGGATTGACTTCCATAGGTAGTTTTGAATTCTCATTATTGGAAGGAGTTTGTTGAAACTGCAGATAGTTCCCACCACACAGTTCTGTATATAAGATATATATTTTTTTAATCAAACATTTTAATGAGCTCCGAGCTAGATTTTCTAATATATTAGGAGGGGAGAATTTGAGACTAGGGGTGGAGGAAAATGGGGGAGGGGCCATGAAACGTATTACTCTCCGGAAAATTTAGGTTTCCTTTATTGCGCGCGAACATTCAAGCCTTTGGAGGTGAATTTTTTAGCGCAAATTTTTTTCACGAGTGTCAGGAAAAATGTTCAAGTGTAATTAATGAAGTAAACGATGATTTACTGTAAAAAAAGTCGCATTTTTCACAAAAAGCGCGCGCGCGCACTTCTGCTTAGATACCTTCAAAACCCTAAAAATGCATGTAATACACATAATTCTGAGTTTGCATGCAAAAAATCAGCCTATACGACAATTCTAAGTTATGTTTAACACTGTTTAAATTTTCCGGAGAGTATTACGTTTCATGCCCTCCCCCCCTTTAATATACCGAGATCACACAATTTTACCTGATTCATCCGCTATTTGAATACGATCTTTATCGAGGTTTGATGGTCCGTGTCTAGTTGCAGGAACAGGTAGATGCTCCAGACCTGCCGAATAAACAAACTTTATTAGAGGGAATGTTGAAATAATCCTATTTAAAGGGCATCGTCATTGATTCACATTTACAACAATTTTCTGAACCTGCTGTTGATATTTAACTTTACGCTACAGTTGTTCTATTGTGCTTTCCTATTAATTATAAACCTTAGAACTGCGATTGCGACAGTAGGTTCAAAGCTGCAAGAGATTAAGACATCATTTAAAATACAAATATTAAGTTCAAGGTTAATTGTGGACAGAGAAGCACAAATCTATCACGTTGATTTCTGAATAGTTAACCTGCTACTCCCAAAGTGTGAGCTGCTTGACAAAAGTCGGTCAGTTTTTCACCTAAACACAAGTTATTTAGTTTTATATAATTAATAAATATATTAATGAACGAATACAAGCTTTATATAATTTCCGACTTCTAGGATTAATTTTGAAATTTATCATTCCGTTTTTTCTCTCTTCGTTCCAACTTCTCCAATCTCTATTCCTTCTCGTTATCAGTAAGATTAAATATTTTACTTTTCTTTATTTCCAAGTTTTCACTCCCCCCCCCCCCGCTCATCAATTAGTAACGCTGGGATAAAAAAAATGCACCCCCGTTTTTAAATTAACTTTACATTTTTTCTCAAATGCCATTTTACCCAAAATATAGTGCTTAGGATCCGGATCCACACAAATATGCGGATCCACGGATCCTAGGGGAAATATATCCCAACTGTAAATAAAAACTGAACTGTTGAAAAAAGAGAGATTATAAAAATATTCTTATCTCTGAATGGTTTATCAAGTTTTAACATAAGATAAGCGAAAAAAATTTACAATTCTGTTTTGTTAAACAAAGGGGGGGGGGACCATGAAACGTATTACTCTCCGGAAAATTTAAAAAGTGTTTAAACATAACTTAGAATTGTCGTAGAAGGCTGATATTTTGCATGCAAACTCAGAATTATGTATATTACATGCATTTTTTTTGGTTTGAAGGAATCTGAGCAGAAGTGCGCGCCGGTCAGAATGCTAGAATATTTATTTTGACCTCAGAAATGAAGTCCTCATGCCAAATTACATATTAATCGACTTACAACATGTAAAAAATGTACTAAGATGACCCATAATGTAATGGTTGGCTACTAGCGCGCCGGTTAGAATATTCCAATATTAAATTTGACCTCGGAAATGAATTCCTCGTGCCCAACAACCTGTAAATCGACATACAACATGTAAATATGTGGGAAGATGACCCATAATGTAACTGCCGGCTACTAGCGCGCGGGTCAGAATGCTCGAATATTTATTTTGACCTCAGAAATTAATTCCTCGTTCAAAATTACCTATAAATCGAATTACAACATGTAAAAAATATACTAGGATGCAGTGGCGTACGAGGGGAGCCGCGCCCCCCCCGAGGTTAAGGGGGGCACCCATGGGGGGAGGCTCTTTTAATATTACATCTGCTTGCATTTCCCTTCCTCAGGCCAGACACAGTGGCGTGCCTTGGGGGACAGTAGTCCTCTTGCCCCCTCTGGGAGTTCCAGGCGGGGCACTGCCCCCCCTGGAAAATACAAAATTAAAAAGAAACTACGTTTAAAAACTAACACCTGACAATGACAAAGACTAGGGATTTGTCTAAATTCACTGTTAATACAAGGAGAGAAAAGTTTTAGCCTTCTAAAGAGAATACTCCATTACACAAGATGTACTATGACGTAGAGCAGACATAACGATCTTGGACTTATAGCCTTACACCCTACAAGGCTGTCTGAGCTCTCTACTGAGAAAATCATTGAAATGTGAGTGCTTAAAAGAATTGGTGAATATGTAGATTGAGTAAATTCTATCTAAAAATTTCAGAAGAAATTTCTTTTATTTGTAAAAATATAATTTTTAATGATGCTGTGATTATTGATTTAGTTAGCTGTGATGGAGTTAAGTGATGAATTTATAAAGTTAAAAAGTTAGTTTTTTAAGCAAAGAAATAATTTTTAAGGTAACACCCAAAAATGTAGTCTTTTTGGTGTATTTTCATGGTGAACAAAACCATTCCCAGAGGGGGGGGGGGGGCCAAAAAAAAATATACAAAAGGTTTCGATATTTTTCAAAAAAGGGGTTGCTAAGGGGGGGACTCCAAATTTTTTTTGTGCCCCCCCCCCTAAACAAATGCCCTCGTACGCCCCTACTAAGATGACCCATAATGTAATGGTTGGCTACTAGCGCGCCGGTCAGAAGGCTCCAATGTCTAATTTGACCTCGGAAATGAATTCCTTGTCCCAATTTTGCTATAGTTTGATGTATCTCATGCAACTGTTATTCTTACTTAGGCCAAACTTAGCAAATATTTGTTTCAAGAGTGTCACAAAAAGCACGCGCGCGCACTTTTGCTCAGATTCCTTCAAAACCAAAAAATGTATGTTTAAACACTGTTTAAATTTTCCGGAGAGTAATACGTTTCATGACCTCCCCCCTTTAGTAAAGGGGATGGTGGAGATGTCATGTTTAATGTGCCTTCAATTTGGTTCAAATCCTCCAATTATTTGGCTGCCCGCCTAATTAGTGATCGAAATTCCTTAAATAAAATCAAATTGAATTTTAATGACCTCTAATTAATTCTAATGACCTCCACAATAAAATAAAATAAGATTTTAATGACCTCTAATGACCTCTAAAAATTAAAAAGTTTTAAGTATGGCTTTGTGAATATCAATCAAAAGCTAGGAACCCCAGGAATACAGTAGCAGCAACGAATCCAGTGTTTGACCTTCTTATGGCCTCTAAAAATGAAAATGTTTTAACTATAGCTTTAAGCATATCAAACGAAAGCTCCCAGGGAATACAGGGGCAGTAATGAATCCAGTGTTTAACCTTCAAATGACCTCTAACGACCTAAAATGACCTCCAAAATAAAAATGTTTTAACTATGGCTTTATGCATATCAAACGAAAGCTAGGAACCAAGGGAATACAGTAGCAGCAACAAATCCAGTGTTAAACCTTCTAATGACCTAAAATGACCTCCAAATAAAAAAATGTTTTAACTATGGCTTTATGCATAACAAATAAAAGCTAGCAACCCAGGTAATAGAGTAGCAGCAACACTGTTGGAGAGTGAGGGGACTCCCAACCTTGCTGTTAATAAAATCACCTTGGAGTAGAAACATAAAAAAACAGAATAGAAAATCGGGGGGGGGGGGGATCTTATTTCTAACCATATTTATTTCACGAAACCCAGCTTCTTCTTTCTTTGATACCACTATATTCCTTGGGTTCCTAGCTTTTGATTTATATACATATAGCCATTGCACAAACATTTTCATTTAGGAGGTCATTAGATAGTCAAATAATGGATTCGTTGCTGCTACTGTATTCCCTGGGTTCCTATCTTTCATTTGATATGCTAAAGCCATGGTAAAAACATTTTCATTATGGAGGTCATTTTAGGTCATTAGATGTCATCAGAAGGTCAAACAATGTATTGCTGCTGTAAATTGCTGCTACTGTATTCCCTGGGTTTTTAGCTTTCATTTGATACATAAAGCCAAAGCTAAAACATTTTTGATTTGGAGGTCATTTTGTGCCATTAGAGGTCGTTAGAGGTCGTCAGAAGTTCAAACATTGGATTTGTTGCTGCTACTGTAATCCAATTGATATGCGTCAGGTCAAAGTTAAAACATTTTTATTTTGGAGGTAATTTTCGGTCATTAGAGGTCATAAGAAGGTTAAACACTGGATTTGTTGCTACTACTGTATTCCCTGGGTTCCTAGCTTTCGTTTAATATGCATAAAGCCATAGTTAAAACATTTTCATTTTTTGAGGTCATTAGAGGTCCTTAGAGGCCATTAGAAGGTCAAACACTGGATTCTTTGCTGCTACTGTATTCCTTGGGTTTCTAGCTTTTAATTGATATGCATAAAGCCATAGTTAAAACATTTTTAATTTTTGAAGGTCATTTTGATCATTAGAGGTCATAAGAGGTCATTAGAAGGTCAAACACTGGATTTGTTGCTGCTACTGTATTGCCTGTGTTCCTAGCTTTCGATTGATATGCATAAAGCCATAGTTGATATATTTTCTATTTGTGGAGGTCATTAGAATTAATTAGAGGTCATTAAAATTCAATTTGATTTTATTTAAGGAATTTCGATCAATAATTAGGATCCGGATTTTTTTCCAGTGCGGATCCGGGATCCGGATTCCCAGGAAAGTGTAATGGATCCTAAACACTGCTTCTCTTACCTAGTATATTGACTTCCCCACTGTATATAAACTCTATTATATAGTTCACAGCATCTCTTTTCAACTCCAACCCGAAGTCCTCAAGTCTGGTATAAAAATATTAATATACCACATAAAACCACGTATAAGGGACAGACATTTTGCTTACGTTATTTGATCATGCACAATTTGCTGGGTAACTTATGGAAAAAATAGATATAAAATTTCGCTTCTATTCAAATTTATTTTGATTACGAAATTAAGAAAAAAATTTTTTTTACTAAGTTATTTAAATAATAAAGCGGGATTACGGACTGACAAAATGTGGAACATGAATTTATTTTAAGGCGAAAGCTATTCGAAACTCAAAAATTCTTTTTCACAGGCAATTAAACTTCTGTTTAGGAGCTTAAGATTTTAGAAAAAGTTCATGGCTAGACATTTTATGTGTATTTTTGTCCCTAACATCTGACATATCTGTCACTTATGACTTATGAGCCAAAATTTTAATTTTACACAATGAAATTAAGTAAGAGTTGCATAACCTAAGAATTAATATTTGATATCTCTTGCCATAAGTTTTATACCTGTAAGCATGCCTTAAGTATGATTTAGGAATTAAGGATAGACACAAATCTGAAGCTTTTATGTGGGACATACATTTTTAACATGACTTTTTATGGGTGCTGGGGGGGAAGTTTTTCCCCATATGCGTATTGTTTATCAATACAATAATGAAGCTGATATCATTTCGATAAACTTCTCCAGGCTCAAATTTGTTTCTTAATCCCGCCATATTGTAAGAAATTTAACAAATGGCATTATTTTTAGACATAACAAGTTTTTTAGGCTTATTTAACAATTTTTTTGCATTATTTTCTCATGTAAATATAATTATCTTGTCGCATAAAAAAGTTTTTTTTTTAAATAAAATTTTGGATTATAAAAATATAGGTAAGAGCCTTTCTAAAAAAGATCGAAAAACATTGTGCGATGTTAATTTTTTCCTCTACAGTACTAATCAAGAAGACCCGGAATTAATTTACAGATATTCAGACGACTTTACAATATAGTTTTACAAATATGATTGTTGAAACGATAATAACATAATAGCCCTAGTTTTCCCGTTTCCAAAATGTGGTCTGCCCTTTTTGAGCATTTAAAAATGCCTGATTAACTGTTAATTTTTTTGTTGGTCTTTCTGATTATGACGGTATATAAACATTATCGTGGTTTTGACTATAGGTACAAAATTGTTTACTGAGATGGTGATATAATACAGGGGCTGACATATAAGGATTCATAAGGAAGTGAAATCTACAAGAGGCCCCAATGTGAACCCCCCCAGACCGCCCAGGCAGCAGGAAGCACCGTCCCGCCCCTGTTCTAACTGGACCTCTAAACCCGCAACAATTAGTCCAAATCTAGGGAGATATATCTTTATCTATCTATATACTTAGCTTGTCTGTCTGTTTGTTTGTGTCCAATAAACGTCAAGACGGCTACCGATCGGGCCCAAATATTGTATGGGGCCTCGTTTAACCCCAGGGAAGGTTTTTGGATGAGAAGAATTAAAAAAATTAGCCTACACAAATTTCGGTTTGTGAATTTTAAAAAATCCACGAAAACTGTTGGGGGGGGGGGGGGGTTAAAGAGTAAATTGCGAAAAACCGCATTTATTACCGTTGGATGTTCAACGTCAGTGCACTCATGAAAACCGCAAAGTCATAACAAAAATAACATATTTTCAGGAAGAAAATGGCTTGGTCCTCAAATGTATTAGAGCAACAATGTTAACTTTTTTATTTTTAGCATTTTTTGGAATATGCAAAACATGAACTTTTTTTAAATTCTGCGATAAGTCGTCTTTACAAAGCCTATAAAAGCTTTCTTGCATAAAATACTAGGTTTTTTGAGTATGATGTGCGTATTTGGCATTAAAGCTTGGATATAATCTAATATGATATGAGACAATCTGTATTATCTAAAAATCTTATAAATACAAATGCGGGTCGGAAGATGTACTGTGTGAAGTGTCATATATAAAAAAATATTTTTCATTTTAAGTCATGATTTTTTAATGAAAGGCATTTCTTGTCAGTGTCTGAGTACAGTGTATATATTTGATTTATGAATGAATAATGATATTTTATGTAAATTGTAAATTAATAAATATTGTGATTTTTATTAACCAGAATAAATTGCTTTCTTATTTCATATAAAATGTGTTGACTTACTGAATATCCAGTTGGTAACGTTAGTTTTTCTTAATGTATGAGTATATTACACATTTTTCTTGCCCCCCCCCCCCTCCCCTCAAAATGTTTATGAGGGGGGGGGGGCAAATTTTTCCCCCCATCTTTCCCCCCCTAACAAAATGTCTAGTTGTGCGCCTGTGAACGCCTATTTATATAAACTTTGCTTGTCTGTCCGTTTGTATCCAATAAGCGTCAAAACGGCTGAACCGATCGGGCCAAAATTTTGTGTGGGTCCTCACATGACTCAAGGAAAAAAATCTTGGAAACTCATTGGAATTTATTTTAAAAAAAACATTTTTTAAATAAAATGATGGCGTATCTTTCAACCTACGCAAATCCGCCATACTTCATTTCTGACCTACGCCACCAAATCTGCTATACTACACATCCGATCTACTAGCGCGTGGTTTTATAGCTTTTATATGGACTTGAGGCCGCAGCGCCCTGCCCCCTAGCCTGTCCTAGCCACATCGCTCGGCCAGGAAATTGTCTTATAACCTAACCTAACCCTCATAATAAAGATTGGTAGACCACAAACGACGTATCAGGTAATGAAATTGTATTATATCACTATTTCAGTAATTTAATGTAAGAAATGATTGTGAAAGACCGCCATCAGAAGGTAAGGGCCTGTGCCTAAAACCCGTTTAATACCTATGCTGACAACTGCGCTGTAGAGAAATCAAAATGATTGTAAAATATGTTTACCTGAGAATGACCAAGGCCTGAACATTATATTTACAAAGCTGTTCCTTGAAAAACTTGCTGCAGGCAGCCATTACGACCTTGTGAACCTTGATGTAGTGTCCCTTAAAGATTTAGAATTTAAAGATAAATCAATTAACTTTTATTCTTCAATTGATCCCTGCGACGTCGTTTATTCAAGTTATTTGTATATAATTTTTTTCACTTTTGTTATTCGACATTTTTTACATGAAAATCCTCCCCATCTCATTATTTTAGGGTTTAAGGATTGGGGGAAGTCACGCCGCACACATATGGTTTCGCGACAGTGCGCTTACCCATATCGCTTACTGTCCGCGCCCATATGTCTTCCGGCAAAATGTCTTTACTTTGAAATGCTTGTCCAATTAAAAAAATAATATTTTGTTATTTGTACATAAATGGTTTATATTATTCTCGAAAACTTTATGAAGGTAAAGAGAACTTCAATTTATACCAGAAATAACGCAGTTTAGCGTGCGGTTCATATCAAAATTATCTAAGATCAGATAGATAGACACTAGACAGATAGATAGATTTAGATTATTTTAGTCCGAATCGCAAGCAAAACTGCGTTATTTCTCCCTACATTCAAATACACTTTTAGAAAAGAGTAACATCAGCAGGTAACAACAAAATTTTCTATTTTAGAAGGAAATCGAAATAAATCACTTATGTTACAAAAAGTTATGATAAATATGTTATTTTTCAGGTTCTATTAAAAGTCTTTAAAATCTTAAATTAATGCTGCAAATGTCTCTATAATAAGCATTTCAAAGTAAAGCCATTTCGCCGGAAGACATATGGGTGCGGAGAGGAAGCGGGTAAGCGCGCTGCCAAGAATTCATGTTTTAGAATTAATTGTGGAATGGAACCTATGTGGGTGCGGCGTGCCTTTCCCCATCTTTTCTGCAGTCTACGAAAAGGGCAGAGCGCTGCAGCTAGCTAGGACAAACTTAGACATTTTTTTACTTTTTTTTAAAAAGAAGATGCGTAGGTGTGGTCATATTGAAAACATGAATTAAAGCAAAAAAAATGCAGGCAGAATGGCTTCATATCTACCGAAACATTCAATATTGATCTCTTGTAAAAGATTGAAATATAAATGTTTTAATTTACCTCGCAGACTATATCTAGATCCACTAACCCGGTCTGTTGTCTAAGCTGTTGTAGCTGTTCACACAACACACTACTGTGATCCTAAAATTAAACAAAAATATATTTAAACAACAACGGAACAAGAACAGAAAAAGGAAGAATTCTATCATTAATAACTCAAAAATACACGGAGGTTTAACATTTGCTTAATTTGGTGATTGGCGATTAAAAATTTATTAAAAATTTTTGGAATGAAAAAAAACTATTTTTATTTTCTTCATCCAAATGGTTTAAAATCCCCAAGTTGAATGCTGGCATATTGGCTCGGGCCTGCAGATTTCTAATCCCCCAGTATCTAACCACCTCACGTACCACCATTTTATATTTTTGGAGATTTTAACACAATTAAAATCAGAAGCGGGGTTCAGTAAGGTTAAAGAAATTTCTGGCCGCTGGCTGTGACTTGACGCGGCGGTCAGGTTAGGGAATCGCAGGGATTCCATGAATATTATGCTAAGAATATGAAAAAAAAAACAATATTTATATTATTAGCGATCCCATTATTTAATTCAAATACATAAACAATCAAACTATTAATCATTTACCTTTACCCGGATACACATAGGTGCAATGCACCCTGGCGCCATGATGAATCTAACAAATGTTAATATTAAATATATTATGGTAGGTTTATCCAGGGGCGTATTCAGGAATTTATCCAGGGGGGGGGCTTAAATTTTTATCTTTCCAGGGGGGGATTTTTATTATTTTTATTATTATATAAATCTTTATTGGGTCTATGCGATACAACGAGTAGTAAAACAGAAGTAAAATTACAGGGTTAACTAGAGTTAACTATTTACTTTACAGAAAAGGCATATGTGTTAGTATAAGTAGACACATTTTTATGTGTTTTAATTTTTAGTGAAGTCCCTACTAACCCGAAAACTTAAAAATACGTATCACATACGTATATATACGTATTTTTATATATTTTTTTAATACAATTTTACGTCTGCAGTAAGCAATTAGGAGATGTTAAAATAGAAATGCAGAAAATGCACATATATTGTGTACATTCAAACCAGACTAATTCATGCCTCAGTAACAAACAAAATCAAAAACTGGGGATACTGGGAGTTCTAGCAATTTGGGTAATTTCCTAGTATACGATTTTTGGACCCCCCCCCCTCCTATCAATTTTGTACATGCGTCAGACAGGAAGTGTCTTAACTTAACCTAAATAACCTTAAATAATAATAAATTTGCTGAAAAATAAATGGTCATGTACAAAATTGATAGGAGGGGGGAGGGGGGGGGGTCCAAAAATCGTATACTAGGACAGACCCGCAATTTGATTTTCGAGAATTTCCTCATTCCCTCCCGAACTTTAAAATGTTATGATTCAAGTCGGGTCGGCTTCTGCCCTAGAAAACGCTTTATGGATTGAGCGCTTCGGTTAACCATGAACTCTACGTAGAAAATTGAGAGGGGGGGGGGGCCCAAACAGAGTTCTCTAGGAAATTAGGTTAGTTTTAACTTTTAATTCCGACTTCAAGCTGAGATTTTCTTAATTTTTTTCTTGTTTTCACTGATGCGCACAGCTGATTAGAAGTGCCGCTGTCAATTCTCATTTATTTCAGGAAGAACAGAACAGCCACCAAACATGATGTATGCCTAAAATTTCTGCAGCTGTCAGTCTGTCGATGCTATCGATTGGACTAATAGCCGACTGAGCTAATGTTCAATTAAACTAAAGTCAGCTGTTCACAAACCGGTTTTTAATCCATTTGAACATCATAACATATGAACAAATTAAAAATTAATTATTTTCAATTATGAACTTTTCTAACTAAAAAAATTAAAATCCTTTGAAGCTTAATGAATTAGATATCAATGTTTAAAATTTTGAAAACTGATTATTTTCAATTGTGCTTTTTCTAGACATATTGATTTCCATATGTCTACTAGAGAAGAACATATGAATATTATCACAATTAAACACATGTTAATCCTAGAAAAACGACTTTAAAACTTTCATGTTAATGATCACATAAAAGGTCCCATTTTGAATTGGTCATTGTATGGATGGTCACTTGAAATTACTGGCCCTTCAATTGGGTAATGTTGATCCGCTCTACTGCCCATCCGTCCTATTGCCCATCCGCTATACTGCCCATCCGACCTACTGCAACATCTGACCTACATTCAGCAGCTTTTGTAGCATGACGGCCACTCAGTTTTGTAGGTCGGATGGGCACTTTTCGTAGGTCGGATGGGCATTTTTCGTAGGTCGGATGGGCACTTTTCGTAGGTCGGATGGGCACTTTTCGTAGGTCGGATGGGCATTTTTCGTAGGTCGGATGGGCACTTTTCGT